ATTACTCAATTTTTTCCGGTCCTGTCCATCAACTTGTTAAACTCCGCCACCTGGTAGGTCAACAGCGACGCGATACAGAATAAAAATGGCAACGACACACTGGACCTATCCGGTGTTATGATCTCCGCAAAAAAGAAAACGGCAAACGTCAATTTGTACCACGAGACGAAGTTCTTCCTCAACTTGTCGTTTACTGTTTGTAATACAAATAGTGGCTTCACGCCAGATTCATCCAGAACTATTTAATGTGCTCATTTCCAAAGTGTAAGAAATTGTCTCCTTAAATTTGCTGTTTGGCGTTTACCATAAACGTCGTTGACACTATACTATCCGGCATAGTATGAACACCTATCGATATGTAACTCTCCACTCTAGCGATCGCCGGGGACGGTGCAGCTTGGCTCAGTTACAGAAATTGCAGCGAAATCAGTGTTCTTATGTGTGAAGAGAAAACGTCTTCAGTATGGCGCAAAAGCTATACGGTATAGTGTGAACTGAATATAGCCTAAAACCCTCACTAATAATTTTATTACTGTACCACGCTCTTTAAGTGTCTTTGTAAATGCTGGTGCCAGCGCCAGTTTTAAGGATCGCCAAAGAAAAGAGAGTAAGAACAGAGCTCCTTAGAACAAAACCCCAAAACAAGTATTGAAATATATACAGCAATGACGTGTCAATCTTAAGGAAGAAAAGCCACCGGCCTTGGATGTGCACATGGATTGTTTTAAATTTAATCGACGATAAAAGTCAATTATAACGCGGAAATGTATTCAATGTGTTATAGCCTTACTCATGACTGGACGCCTATTTTGACGTTATGGTATTATTGACTTTTCCATGACGTGGATTGGACAGCATATTAAATTGCCGTGATCTTTTTTATGCCTCTGTCCTGTCAGCCTGCATAACAGGCGCTTTAATTTATGAGCCAAGCGAAGCGAACGCGTCATTTCGCTCGGCTCAAAGCGCCTGTCAGTTATGCAAGTTAGTCCAAAGGGGGACAGTTTCGCCTTCAGTTCGAAAGCCAGTGCCAAACGAAGTTTGAATGCCTGATTTTACCAGGAAATGCTGTTTATAAAAGAGGCCGAGTCAATTCGTGCAAAACTGTAGATATTCTTGACACTTTATATTAGGTTTATAATGACGAACTGTTTAATATTTAGACTTATACTCCGCATGCAACAGACGCAGTCTTAATATTTTTTCAGTTGATAATAACGCCTAGTTGAACATCGAAAAGTCGTTGTTTTTTAACTTTTTAAACTTTTTTTAATATGAGAAACATTTAAGAGCAGAATTTTTTATTCAAATGTTTATCGAAATCGCTTCTTATTCGTAGACCTGTAATCGTTGATAAAGTACGTCATAAAATTTGACAATTTGCTACGACGAAATTTAACGTCTTTAAGCCGTTGTAGGTAACTATCGAGAATCCGGCGCCAGATAAAAAAATTCGAATTTTTTTTATTTCACTAAAAAAAACCCTTTTGGTAAACTATTTTCAAAAACGATACTCAAATTTCCAGGGAAGCTCCGTTTTTGCCAAAAATAGGAAAGTTTAAAATCCGCCTAAACCTGGTCGAAGGCCCGTGCAATGGAAATTATGCAAATTAGGGCATTTTCAAAACGCTCGTACGAAAAAACGAAAGCTATCTTTAGTTAATCTTTCCAAGGTTTGTTGAAAATTTCTCAAAGTCGTTTTCAAGCAAGCTATATTTTATCTTGTTCTAGGCTTTTTTACACCAGTGCAAAGAAAGTAATGTTTCGTGTTAATTGACACGCTTGTTGGATTTTAGCACGTGATATTTCAGAAGGTTATAGCATCAAGTATATATATATTTAGCGGTTGTGAAAGTTGTCTTTTGAAAGAACCATTCTTCTTGTATGTCATACAAAAAGCCTTTTTTTGGCCCGCCAAAAGCGAGCGCGTTAGACGATTTTACGATTTTCCGCCTCTTAATTAATTCAACTACAAGAACCATGCTGTTGTTGGTACAACCACTTTTTGTTCATTAAAATTGATAGATTTTACCTAAGAAACATTTTACAACGCAGTCCATCTTTATTACATACGTTTTGGTGTCCTAATGAATTGTTCTAGTAAATTCTAGATAAGGCGTGACAAACTTATGTAACAGAGGGTGGTGAAAATTTTCGCCCCCCTTCCTGCCGACTGTCGGTCCTGCTCATGCCCACATTCTGCTTGTCTGCTTCCAAACCATCGCAAAAATCAGATAGAAAGGTAGAAATAACCATCTTAGAATCAGGTATCGCTCTTTAACGAAAAAATATCCAGAATGCCAGCGAAAAGTTCGAATGCAGGGTACTGAATTTTATAAAATAACTAAGACAGTACGCGCACTCTGATTGGCCGAGAGGAATGTTTGAATGAGAGTATGTAAACATGGTTGTGGCGTCAAGTTGTTTGGCTTTTCGCGCGCTAATCACGCAAGCAAGAATTTGAAAATGCTTTCGAGTTCAAAACTCGACAAGTTTACTTCATTTACCCATTCCTTCGTCGGCTGAAACATGGAAAATCGTTACAAGGAAGGTGAGTCAATTTTTCTTCACTTAAGCTGACATTTTAAGCGAGAAAAATCCGTATTTTGCAAAGCATCTTTTTGCAAAACAAGAACTGATTACGCGTGCAAGACTTTGTGGACAAGATTTTGCGACTGGTAAGAATTTCTCTTTTAATCAGTGCCACACAAAGAGTTTTGTGCTTTTTTTCTCGGGAAAGTTATTTTATAAAAGCAATAGAAAACTTTTTTCCTGTGTTTGCATAGCCTGATATAAACACTCGAGGCGTTGGGAGAATTCTCGACGGTTATGCAAACCCTCGACTTCGTCTCGGGTTTGCATAACTGTCTCGAATTCTCCCAACCCCTCTCGTGTTTATATCAGGCTATGCAAACACGGAAAACGTTTTCTATTGCTTAAATAATACACGAAAAAGAAATTTCAAATGGCCGTTACTATATGAGTGCTCGATGTTTTTTCTTTCCTTGCTACAACCAGTTGCAGAAGTACTTGAGACACTGCACCGTATTTTGGCATAAATGGCCTGTCCATGATCTTGTGCTTGTGATTCCCCCCTCCACCCCTTGTCAAAGTTAGTAGCAATACAAGACTATGCTCAAAACTTGGAGGAACAACTTTAAATGGGAGGGAGGAGGGAGGTCAGTATTATATCTCACAGACCTGTGACCAGAAGCGATTTGAAGCAGGAAAGGTCGTTTTTTCGTGGGAGTGGCTCAACATTTTTGCAACTGGTCTGAGTCCTTCATACCCCTATAGCCGTGGTGCACGATTATTAAACGGGGTAAAACGTGGTGCACTCTTAGCACCTTAGGAGCCGTGGTTATAAAAAACAGTATTTCATTTTCCTAGGTTTGCGTGGTTAAAAATGGCGAGACAAAAACGAAGGATTTTGGTCCTTTTGTTTATGTGGTAATATGTAAGAAATTGGGCTTTTAAAGGAAGCACGTGGCAAAAGATGCCACACCATCTTAAGTAAGCTGCAACGAAAGAGGTTTTTGGTCCTAAAACGCTACAAAGATGCGAAAAATAATATATTTTCATGGAACTCGGGTAAAAGACGTTTATTTATGTTAGGAAAGTGACCTAAGATGCCCCGCTAGATCAAGGACATAGCTTTTTGTTGTTGTTTCTGATAAGTACGAGGACATGGTTAATCTTTTATCGCCTGCCAAGTAGCTGTTGTCGACTTTACTTTACTTAAGACAAGTTTGGACTTGTGTTTACTTTTTGGTCGTCTTACAACTTTGTTTCGATTTTGAAGCCCAAGTGTGGCTAGTCATCAGATAACGTGAAAATTCACTCGCGTATTTCAGTAACATAGTCGCGAGAGCTCGCATATAACGTGGCTTTGTATTCTGTACTTGATGACGAAATTTATTTCTTCACCTGTTGCAACCCTTCACACTCTTTAAAGGCTTTCACTCCAAAACATTACATCCTTTTCAAAACAGCAAAAATCGTATATCCTGTTTAAGACTCAAGACCTTGAAAACCATACCTTGTAAAGTGGCACATACGCTTATAGGCTAAATAAGGAAGTCCCCCCCCCGCTCCCTAGGGCTAGGAACTCGCCTAGCCTAGTGAAGATTGAGTAAACTCAAGAAGGTATTCTGCATGGATAGTACCAAAATGAAAATTTCCCCTACTTTCAAATAGCTGTAAAACAAGATATCACCTCTGTCTATTACATAGGTAAGGATTTAAAAACTATGGAATGTTTTTTTCAGCTTATTGTAATATCATGATGGCGGCTACACACAGAAAACTGTTGTTATATCTCCTTTTGAAACTGACAATGAAACTACACAAATATGATCAAACAGATTTTAAAGGCAAATAATACTGATGATCGACGGTCAGGTACGAATTATATTTTGTAACACTTGTAATGTTTATGATCTATTTACTAGAAATACGTATCTCACAAACCAAAGTATTAATATATACACACAAATAACATAATTTATGTAAATTTGTGGATAAGAATAAATTGAGATAGAGCCACAGATTTCAGTTTGGTTGTGATGTAGTAGTCAGGGTGATTTTCGAATGAATCGGTTTTGTTTTGGCTGGAATGTGCTAGTGAGCTCATTTGTTTCTGGAAAACAGCTGAATGGGGGGAATTAGGAAATTTAGCCTAGAATAGGGTAGAAAAAATTCACTTGAACTAGCTCTGGTACAGGCTAAGGGTTCTATACACGTACCCACCCAAAAATTCCTAAAGTACTCCGGCCCCCGGGCAAAAAGTAAAATATACATACAAATAACATTATGCAAATTTGTGGATAAAAATAATTATATATATTGAGATAACCACTGTAGATTTAAGTTAGATCATGATGAAAATATTAGTCAGGGTGATTTTTGAATGAATGGGTAAGGACAGGATTAGAGCTCTCATTAGATTGGGCATTATCACTCTTTGAATTTGCTTGAGGGGCAGTTACCTCGTAACTCTGATTCCCCTGTTGTTGACGCTCTCCTACGCTCATTTCCTGCCTAATAAGCTTTAATGCTAATTTTAGGGAGTCGTTTTCCTGTTCCGCGGACGATGCTCGGGTCTCAAGAGACACAATTTTCATTTTCAGCGCATTAATTTCTTTATCTTTGTTGCATAATGACGCCTGTAGCTTTTCACACCTCCCTTTCTGTTTCATAAGCTCTTCGTTGCTAATATTTTCTTGATTTTGTGGATATCTCGAAAAAGAACTTGTGTTATCATCGACCTGCTTCTTTAATACCGTCAGGTTGTATTTTATGTCTTTCAGTTCAGCAAATAATGAATTTTCTGATCCCGAGTCCGCAACATTACCGTTGTCTGTTGGTTTCATTTTGGCTTGTGGATCGATTCGGCGAATCGGTTGTCATCTCTGGCTTGTCTTGAACCAGTTTGAACAATTTTTCTTTTAAAAACGGACCATCTTGTCCTTGGAAAACAATAGTAAGTTGCTTCTTGAAGTACCAAGTTATAACAAGCTTATCATTGCAACTTTTGAATTGCTTATTATTTCCGCCGGGCGACGACCACTTTCCTTGCTGCTGAAGACAATTTTCAACAAATTAACGACGAAAGCAACGACGAAAGCAAAATGCGGAGGGTACAGGTAATCAATCTCGCCAAAAAGGGTAAATCGTTTAATTCCTCTCGCTACAGCCGTATGTAAAAGGTTTTGAAAGTTTTCATGCCGGTAGAGATTTTAGGCCTGCCATCCCTTTTGCTTGTATGGGAGATAAACAACTAAGAGCTTGAATTTCAGACATCCTTTCGAGTCGCAACCAACCCAATTACGTTTTCTCCGAGAACCCAGTGAAGATATAGATTCCACTGGGTCTGTTACAGAGGGGTGTACAAAAGTTCGAATTCATTAGCGAGATTTAGATTCACGTTTACGAAAAACGGCAAACGTCAATTTGTACCACGAGACGAAGTTCTTCCTCTACTTGTCGTTTATTGTTTATAACACAAAAATTAGTAGCTAATTCATGCCAGATTCATCCATTATGAATTATTTCTGCTGATTTCCAAATATAAAAAATTGTCACCTTGAATTTGCCGATTAGCGTTTGCTGTAAACGTGAATCTAAGGCTATAAACACATTTCACTGGCAAAGCTACTGCTCCAGTATAATATGAACACCTATCCAGTATGTGACTCTTCACTTTAGAGATCGGCGCTGCGCAGCTTCGCTCCGGTACAGAAATCGCGCCGAAATCCCCGTTATGTGTGAACAGAAGCCCTATCCGGCATGATTTTCGTGCCGGCGCAAAAGCCATCCGGTATAGTGTTAACATAACCTAAAACTCTCTTTTTTCAACACGCTGTTTAAAAGTCTTTCAGTAAAAGCCGGTCCCAGCGCCAGTTTTCAGGATCTCCATAGAAAGGGGAATTCAAAAGAAATAACAAAAACCAACATCCCAAGAGAGTAATATCGTTGTATTGCCTTAGGACGAAAAGCCACCGGGACATGGATATTTTTTAATTGCACATGGCTTGTTTACAATTAATACGATAAAAGTCATCATGACGCGTTATCGGCTTATCCTCCAGAGCATAATCTAGCTGTCAGAGAAAAAGAAAAAAATTATTGGAACATGCAGCATTTTGGCATGAGGTAAATTTAGTCGTGTGATGCCTACCGACCCCCTTTTTTGCACTAAGTAATCGGCTCCTGCTTATGCATGATTGGTTGCTTATTTTGACACTATCGCGTTCTTGACTTTTTTCATGTGGTGGATTGAACAGTATAGGAAACTGACGTCATCTTTTTAAGGCGTCTGTCCTGTTATCGTTGATAAAGTACGTCATAAACTTTGAAAATGTTACGAAGAAATTTAGCATCTTTAAGAAAACACCACGCCCAAACTGAAGTAAGGTCATTTTAGAAACAAAAGTCAAAGAGAGCAAAATTAATCTCACCTCAAGAGAAAAGATTACACAAAAGGCAAGCTAACTTCAAACAATTTATGAATTTTATGCTCAACAAATGAGGTAATTACTAGTTTGTAAGTAAGTTTATTGTCGTCAGTATATAAACATTGGAAAAGATGCTCGAGATAGCGCGTCAGCGATACGAAGGGTGCAGCCCTCGCGGTACTCTACCCTGAAGCTCTACAGCATGCTTTGCAGACGACGGGGAGCAAGTGCTAAGGAACGTTTGAAAATCGCCTCCAAGGGCTTATGATTGGTATGTACTGTGATGTCCCCTTTGCCAAAAAACAATTGATCGAACTCTTGGGAGGCATGAACAATAGTCGGGTCTCTTCCTCAATTTATGCATATTTCTGTTCTGCGGGCTTCAGAGAACTAAAACTGTAGGCAACGGTTTGTCACTCAATTTAAGAAAAGTTTGGTGACACTAGAGTCGATTCTCCTCATATGCCTGTTGCTGTTTAATCCCCAACAAACACAAACGCATAAAAAGATCTCGTGTCAGCAGGGTCGACGGCCCGACGCAATTTCCACTTTTCTTTCTCCCGCGTTTATTTGCAGATTAGGAATTTTTATTACAGAAGTGGTTATGTTCTGATGCCCTTTTTACTGTCAGCCCACTTCAGCCATAAACAGTAAGGGGTTGAAGCAGTATACCCAGCCTTTACCCATAGGAATAACTTTTATCGGGATCAAGTACCACTACAATGATGTGCCAGACAGAATGGCCTGATAGAAGATGCCGCCCTACGCCCATGAATGATAGAAACCTGGGATAACAGATAAAAGTAGTTGTTTTGAGCAATGCGTTTATTCAACTTTAATTTCTACAATTTCTTCCTGTTTCTATAAGCGTTTTAAAATCCTTTGATTTTTATCGGCAGTGAACTGGAACCAGGTTGTTTGATACTCATTGCACCAAGATGTAGCCCATGGCTTTAATATCTTTACCGCCATTGTCTGGATGATAACCTGCCGATGCAACGTTTCCACAGGTGTTGTGACCATTCGGATATCCCCCAATGCCAAACCCAATTCTGGAGTCGGGGGTTACACAGTCATCTTCCTGGTTACTTACGATACCGATTCTTGCTTCGCTGTGGTAATGTGGCGACTTTAAATTGAAACCTTCCCTGTTACAATGTGTCTGCAGCGAAGCGTTTTGGCCAATCAGATCCTTCCAGGCTTGACGACCCAGGTTCTGCGTGAAATTTTTTTGACTTCCGTCAGCGATCAAGGCGTACAATGAACTGGCGGTTTTGTAGATGACGATCGATTTAACTTGGCTGTCGATCTTCATAGCGAGGCAAATCTTAGAGAATGGTGTGCTCCAATAGGTGGGTAATTTTGTCTCTTGATGATCAAGCAGGGTCTTTCCTCCCAGAGGATTGAGTTCGTTCTTGTTGGTCCACAATTTGGAATCGTAATGAAAGGTGTCCTAAACGAATAAAGAAATGATAATAATACATCGTCAATTAACAGACAGTTTTCGCATGATATCGTGGCGGTCACATTGTGTCGCAAAAAATTGTTAGACTATTCAATTTTTTAACTACTCTTGAGCCCTGGGGGACAATTACATCAGGCCTCCTCCCCATCTAAAAGTAGTTTTGAGAATATTTAGGCTAAGAAAATCAAAGCCGATTAGAACTTAATGTAATAAATACCCAAGCTAAAATAAATAACATTACATGGCAAGATTCCTCTAAAAACATTTCGTGACGTGATGACGGTCAACGGCCGCCATCTCGGTTTTAATACGGCCAGTGGAACTGAGGCTTTGTCAGTGACTGGCAATACGACCGGTCAATATAAAGCGAATCCTGTGTTTTGTGCCCCGGCCGGTGGGATTTCCCGCTTCGTTCTCACGAGATTAATTTCCTTTTGGCCATGTAATAAATCCTTGATTTACCAAAATGTTCGGTCAAGATGGCTGGTACTGGGCTGGTTCTTATATGCGTTTTTATGGACCTCAACTTGGTCTCGGTTCATGGAAAAGCAACTAAAAAAAGACCTTTTTGGAAGTCTACCAAAACTGTAAGTCTACCACATTGACCTCACGATTTGTCAATAAAGCCGAAATCTTGTAGGAAACTCTCGTTGTTAAGAACTTAGAAATATTTTGATAAAATAATAAAACAAAAATATAGGTGCACGAGGATGTTATCCGCCACGGCCTTCAGCCTCAATAACAACCTCTACGATCTGCATACAGCTGAACCTCTCTAAAAGGGCCTCCATGCAGTGGGAACAGAAGAAAGTGCCCGTTGTGGAGAGGTGGCCGTTATCGGGAGGTAGGGGTGGTATATGACAGTTTATTTTTAAGGAGCACAAGTTCATGTTTACTGTACATGTGTTCCATAATCATGGTAATCCAATCGTATAAAATGTTTAGACATAAAATACACAAAAAGCTTGAATTAAGTTTTGGATCAAAATGTGAACGTGACAAAACGAGAAAGGTTCGCAGCATTCGCTATAAGTATGGTAGAGAATTTTTGCTTACTGCGCAGCAGTATAAATGAAACACAATTACAATCAATTGAAAATAGGATTGCCGTGATTGATCATAAAGTAACTTGCTGTGTGACCGACATTCTTGACTGTTTCATCCGTTGCTGAAAAAAACTGGCCGTTGTAGAGAGGTTATTTTGGCAGTTGGGGACATGCATTCTTTATTGGCCGTTGCCGTTGTAGAGAAGTTTAAATAAAGAGGCTCAAATAAGAGGTATTGAGACTATCCACCGGGGCAAAATAAAGTGGCCGTTGTGAGGTGGCAGTTGTGGAGAGGTGGCCGTTATTGGAGGTTTAACTGTATTAATTCTTCACATCCGATACTTAGCCTCTTTCAATAATTGCCAAACAACCCATCGATCAACGTCGCTTCCAGGTGGTGGCGCGATAGCATAGTTGTTTATTAGTGCCTGAGTAAACTAAAAGAAAACATGGCGTTCACGGTATACTGAGCCTCATTCAATAATTTTTGATTATTATGCAGTTCCCTCACTATCTCGATAATCCCTTTGCAGCTAGTCATTCTCGTGTAACCAAATCGACATGCTGGCTGGAGAGCAAGAGATCGAACACACTTGGACAAGACAGATAAAAGGTTCACATCATTTTAAATGCTAATTTCCTTTGTTTGTGTTTTCCCCGAGTGCATGCCTTGCTCTCCAACCCAGCAAGGCGGGGTTTTTTATCACCTGAACGACTAGCTACATTAAGTGCGTTTTCTGACTGGTTACAAAAAGATTGCTAATGCTAGCTGGTAATAGTTTCGCTGCGTCACTCTTGCAGACGAAAGTTTGTAAATACATATTAATTACATGCAAAGTGACGTCATTTTGCTGAAAATTGCTGGTTCGCAGGTGCCATCGCGGCAGCCATGTTGGTGGTCAGAACAAAAGCATATCTCTCCTCTGCGAACTAAAATCCATTTTCAGGTAAATTCGTTAAAAACCAAGAATGGTTTTCGTAGGACACCCCTTGACAAGATGCCAATAGTTGGAGGGACAATATTTAAGTTGATCTTGTTACTTTTAAAGACGAGGGCTTTCGCTATTAATCTTGTTTGTAATCTAATGTATAAGATTGACCTGGAACTTTTTTGATGGTAAACGGCTATAATCAATGCAAAACGTTGTGAGCAAATTGATTCATTACGTTAAATGTTTTATTTCATGTGTGCCTTTTGACTGATGATTAGATCATGAATTCAGTGTGTGTCTAAACAATAATTAAGATCGATCGGTTTTTGCAGTTGGTTGCGCATGATAACGAGAATTATCAAGGCTAGTGTTATCTGCCGACAACGAAGCGTTGATAATTCTCCCTATTATATCGTGTGATTATAGTTTTTGTTGTTGAGGGGTGAGCGGCGTAGGTGTCTGCCGCTTTGAAAAATAGTTATAAATTTTTAAAGCAACTTGTAGCCTAGAATAGAATGTTCTTTGCTTACTGCTGTTACCTTGTTTCCATTGATCTTCATGACCAGCGTCCATCCACCTCCTCCGCATTCTTCAAGCTTAGCTTTTACCATGTGACAGTACACAGGAATTTGTTCAGAATTAACATGCAGTGTATAGGCTTCGTTTTTATGCCCGCTATTGAATGGATATTGACATAATGAGGGAAATTGTTCCAGTCTTTAACCGACTGTTTCATTCTAGTAGTGGACAACTCCTTAAAAACGTGATAAAAAGTTGGAAACAGCTCGATAAATTTCTTTAAGATTTGAAATTCTCACTGGTCATAACAAGTTTTCTTCTATATCTAATTTAATAAGTGTGGTGAACGTTTTCTGAGCTCTCTGTCAGTAACGATGTAATATAATGCTCGAACTTGAGAGACACTGACCCTTTAAACAAGTGGAGTTACCTTATGTACTTTAGAACGACAACACTCACCCACATGCATGAAGTTACAGCTAATCTGGGCGTCTAGTTATAATATATGTAGAAAAAGCCCTTGTATTAGTCTGATCCTCAAGAAAGATACTATGATATGAGAAAAGTTGGGTGTTCTATGACGAAACCAAAAAAAGTAATCAAAAATGTTGCTACGTTATTACTCACTTATCCGCATCGTAAATGTCTTTGCAACTCAAAGTCGTTTGTCCGCTGCCTGATCCACCTAGTAAGTTAGTAAATAAGTAAGTAATAATGTCAGTAAAAGTTATATATACATGTATTCCGAGTAGAACGTATTTCGTAGAGCGCTCAATTCATATAATTGAAGAGCATTGACTGTTAATAATCACAATGATCGTTTATTGTGATCAATGATTACTCCTGAAGCCTGAACTCCTGTGATTATTAACAGTCAATGCTCTTCAATTATATGTTGAAATCTCCAATTTCGTTTGGGTCGCCATACCTGTTGATTGAGTTATTTTACATTGGTATGCCTGTGGTGCGGACTGACGAGGCGCGCGAGAGCTCCGCTACAAATAAGTTAGTGGAAACATGTTAATGTGAAAAACAAGAAAAAATCATTGAATGAAAAGCATCTTTGTGATTCCATTGGAGAGCCAAATTGAAAGATGGATTTTTGCGTTGGATTTTTGCGAATTTTCGTGTTGCGTTGGTGAAGAAAGAGACAGCAGACTGCCATGGTTTGTTGGAATGATTGGCAAACTTAAAACTGGTTTGAATACGTCTCATTGAGGCTTTCCGTCATGGTCTTAGCATGTATTGTGTCGTCCGCGATGCTGAAATTCGCGTAAGTTATCTTGTTTACTTCCCCGAGAGACATAAACAAGCCAAACTTGGCGAGGTCAGCAGCTGCACCAACGACTCCGTACATCAGTGCTAAACACCATACGGTAAAAAGAGGTTAATGAATAAGAAATTGGGTCCACAGAACCAAATTGAGGCTTTAGAGCTGAGTCAGACTTTCTAACTTACAGTACACTTGAAACCCGTTTTCTAATGGGACCAAAAAAATTAAGAATAGTTTTCCATTCTGGCAATACCAGGAGAAGAGCTTACAGGTTATTTCACAAGCTTCACACGTGTCGTTTAAAACTGCTTCCTGGCCATTCACCGAGCATACGCCTAGCATCAACAATGAAATCGCTAGTGTCATCCAAAATTGCATCGTCAAATTCCTGAAACCTAGAATGAAAAAATGATGATTTATGTCTAAAGGATCTCCAGGAGAGTTAAATAAACTGAGTAAAGACCGTAAACTTTCCCTCAGCCGCCATTGTTTAGGTTTTCAAAGCCGGCGCTTTTCGCTACACGTGGGCTATAACATATAGTCTAGTAGCAGCTCAACCAATCAGAACGCAGCATTGATAATAGACCACTAGTTGGATTTTACTTAATTGTTATATTTACGCCAAACTATCAGGAAAAAAATGTGTCACAGTTGTCAGCTTGAAAACAAATTTCTGCCCAAACCAGGATGTTTGTAATTGGTTCTATCCGCCAACTACTTCCTCTCCCCATAAATGCGGGGCCTTTTCCTCTCCCTAGACCGCCACTGGGCTCGCTTCGCTCACCTATTTGAACCCTTTTTTGCCTTTTTTCCCCTAAGCGGAGCCTGGTCCCAGGTTAGCAACTAATCTGAAGTCCGTCTAAGAAAATTCGCAATTAAAGGCGAGAAAGAAAGCAAGATATCAAACTATGAACAATAAATGATAAGTAATTAAGCATATCATACCACGACTTTGAATAGATGTGCGCCTCATTGGCTATCTTCCCAGCTCGCGAATTGTTGTAAATTTTATAAAACTGGACAAAAGTTTTAGAAAAGGATTCTTAACGTTAACGTAGTTGGTGTTTTAGCTGTATTTCCAAAAATTCCCAACTTAATTAACACGTGTATAGTGAGGTTTCTAAACTAGAAAAACACAAAACAAGAGAAAATTGCTGAAAATTATATAATTTTCGTGTCACAGGAGTGTCATTGTTACAGGCAGGCAAGAGATTAGTAGGAGCTGTTTGCTATCTTCCGAGAACTGAGAGAGCTACCCGAGGGCCTTAGTTTTATATTATATAAGGAGACCAGGAAAATGATGATCTCTGATATTGAAAAAAGCCGCCTATATTTTCGCAAGAAAAACTATTTTTCCTCACCATAGCACTTGATTCGAGTGACACGTAGTTAACAAGAGTACTGGCGAGCCATCTAGTACTCGGAAAGATCACTCAGTTTTAGAACCAACAAATTGGGTAACCAACAAACTAATTATTATAAATTGGTACGTTAGGAATCATGAATAAAACTTACAGAAAAACATAAAAAATAAACTTACCACAGTTTAACAAACCCAACAATGTTATGAGAATGACAGGTCGATTCTTGGCAATATGAATTTCAGAGAGAAGGAGACGAGATTAAATACCTACGCAAGATGGAGGGTTCCAATGTTGCAACTTGAAACTACGTAAAAGGGTGTAGGCTTACATCATCAAACTTTTATTGATACTAAAACAAATATGCTAGTTAGAGTCTACAGGCTTATACAGTTTTTCTGTAACTTATTATGCCACGGCAAAGTTTTTAAGATTTTTCTCAGTTAGTGTTGTCATGTAAATTTGGCCAAAGTAAAAGTCACTGGCTACATTTTCGTTTAAGTTGTCTACTTTGAAAAGTCAATTGATCCCTGGGTAAGCTTCAAGTGTCAATGCGTTCTTTCGCCTTCAAATACCCATTGAAAAATATCTTCTTATATCGAATTAATTTATCAGATTATCACACTAATCAGTGTCATCACTGGGGCTAAGAAAAAATTTCCGGTTTGTCAGGCAGCCACTACTAATCTTCAGTGGTTGGCGATCTCATTCTAGTCTTGACTGGCAATTTTAAAATTTTAACTGTCGGCTAGGAATCTTAAGTGATAAATGAGTCTAAGATTCAAAGAAATAACTGGTACAGATAAGAAATACTATAAATATTTGAGCTGAGAGTTCAATGAATATCTAACTGAAAACTTATATCCGAGAACCCATATCTAACCCGGCACTTCAGATACTTATTAAACATTGAATTGAATGACAATTCGTGTGGCCTCGGATACAAGGTTAAATTACATACGGTCCTTACTATCATATTCTCCTTGTTTCTTGGTCGGTGGTTCTCAAAGAGAATCTTTCCCTTTTAAGGTTTAACTTTAACCTATCTGCAAAATAACGAAAGGGTCTCGTAAAAAGAGTGTCCCGTCATATTGGATCGATACAGCTGGAACGTTTCTCCCCAGAGTCCAAGAAAACCTAAATATCGGTCACGCCTTCCTCACTGTTGGATTCTTGAAAGAGATCGAACTGATGTCGCGTGATCTCAGCTGATTCACGCAACCAAATGTCTCGCAATAAGGGCCAGAGTTCGAGACTGTTAGGACGTTTTTTCGGACTCTGAAAGGAAACTTTTATCTCATTATTTTAGGCAGAAAAAAAAAATTAGTAACACTTTCTTGAGTTTATGTTTTTATTGATTGTTATTCAATTTGTTTTGAATTAGTAAATTGAATTTCATATTTACTTATTGTTCTCCAATTTGAAAATGGTACCTTCAAATGGCTCTTCCTGCTCAGCCAACGTTAAATTTGGATGGCAGATTCTCCTTACTTATCATCAAAATCATCAGCTGAATCATTATGAATAAATTGTTCAACCGGCAAATTTTTTCATTGGGTGACTGAGTTCGACCTGTATGTCGGATAAGTTCAGTTTTGTAATAATGAAAATATAAACAGGACACGAAGCTTTTCGTCCATATCAAGACATCGAGTTGCATTCAAAACGAGATCTGACGGTCGGATTGGATATCGGATCTTGATATTATAGTCAGGGTAGTGATTTCCATTGTCAGACAACAACTAACACTTTCCTGAGTTTACGTTTTTCTTTATGTTTTTAATTAGTAAATTAAATTCCATATTTTCTTTACAATTGTTCTCCAATTTGAAAATGGTGCCTTCAAATGGCTCTTTCTGCTCTTTAAACTCAACCAACTTTAAATTTGGATGACAGATTCTGCTCACTTCTCATCATAATTACCAGCTGAATCTATGAATCGATTGTTCAACCAGCAAATTTTTTCAGTGTGTGAACGAGTTCGACTTGTCTGTGGGATAATTAGACTCGACTATTCTTAGCTATGTTTATTTTGTAATGTTGAAAATATCAAACATGACACTAAAATTTTCATCTGATATCAAGACATCCAGAGGTAGGTTGAATTTAAAGCGAGATTGTGTTGTCGTGTTTGATGTAGCTTCTTAAATGAACTATAATTTTCAAGAAATAAAAAAGAAAGAAAAAGGAAAGTTCGCGAAAAGTAATGGTAATAGTAAGATCCAATATCCAATCTACCATCAGGGTAGTGATATCCAATGAATGTTGGTCAGAATTTTGGTCAGAAAACAACTAACACTTTCCCGAGTTTTTTTCTTGCTTCGTTGTTATTCCAATTGTTTTAATAACTAAACTCAATTCCATATTTAGGTAACAATTGTTCTCCAGTTTACAATGATGCCTTAAAATGGATATTATCCTGCTCTTTAAACTCAGCCAACTTTTAGTTTGGATGACA